CATGGCAGCGCAAGAGAACCACATTGAAGTAGTGAAATATCTGCTGGAAAATGGAGCCAACCAGAGCACCGCTACCGAGGTACAATATGCATGCCTTTTTACAGATTGTCTTTAATTTCCCCTTGCTTTCAAGATGTGACTGATAGCAAGCAAATATGATTGTCAAACATAATATTCTGAAGACTAGACCAGATTATGCATGAAAGTATGTGTGTGAAGACATTGCTTTTCCCTCTGTAGGTATGTATGATGAGGAAGGAGAAGCTCAGTTGTACGATTCCTTCCTCTGTATTCCTGGAGCCACAAGGAGTCTAGAATCTATGTATGAGGGATGTTCCCTCATCAAGCCCTGAGGAATCTGAATAAACATTAGTGAACCCTTGTTGGGTATATTCTTACAGCTGTATCAGACAGAGGAAGCCATGACAGCTTGGCTTTTTTGGGGCTGTACTGCCAGTGTGCTGCTATGGTCTTAGCATGGAGGTACAGGGTGCATCCAGATGAGCGTGCACAAGTGGCTTGCAGCACCTCAAAACCATTTGAGATGCTGCAAACCACAGGCAGTGCATGTGCAACTATTTGCCATGCTGCAGTGTGGCACCAAAATTTGATACCAGGAACTCCCACTAAAAAAAAAAAAAAAAAAAAAAATTGCTGCAAAAAAATCCATGTAGTGCATGCTCCAGGAGCATGTGCCACAGCAGCTAGAGGCTGGATCAGAGCATCTCCACTGTTTTAAGTGACCCCTGGCTCCTCCATCATGCTGGGAGGAGTCCGTTTCCCCAAAGTGGGGCATTTTGCTCCACAGAAAACCTAACATGCAGGAGCATGTACAGTGGCAAAAAGCAAAAGCACAAATTTGCACGCCCCTGCATGTGGGGATGCACCCACAGGCTGCGTCTGTATGAGCATGGATGTTTGTTTCCCCAGGGACAAGATACAATGGCACATCTTGTGCTGCTGCTACTTGTCCCTGGGGAATGCCTCTGCCACGCGTCCTCTGGCGTGTGGCAGGATACTACAGGTGGGGTAGGGGAGGCTGGAAACAACAACTGTGTTGGCCTTGCTTGAGGTCCTGGGGCATTCTGGGGCTGCAGCCACAGCAATCCTGGATGGTAGCTGGAGTGTGATTCCAGCCAGCTAGGCTCCGGTCTTGGGCAGCATGCTCTACCTCTGTGTGGGCCGCCCTGCTTTTTTTTTTTTGTGCAGGTTTTTTTTGACCTTGGGATTTTTTAGGGTCAAACCACCCCTCTTCTCCCATGCTACTGCCTCGCAGTACGGGGAACACCGCAGGAACATGTGCGGTGTGTGGTGCCACAGACATGTCATATACTACACAGCTGTGCTCATCTGGATGCTGCCACAGAGTGCAGAGGTAGGTTTTCTTGTGAGCATCTTTGTCTCCTACAAATCCCATGAGAGCCTTTAGGAATGAAGTCATTACTATTTCCTTCACCAGGACAATTAGCCATGCTGCTTTACCTGCCCTTTCCATAAGGAAAGCTATCATTTTCTTCCCATTATCCTATATAGTGAAACAGTCCATAGAACTGAATGAGCTGGGCTTTTCATTCAGTCATTTTTTTGAAGCAAATGTAAGCCAGTTTGCCTGGAACATGTCATAAAATGTATCCTTATAATGTAAGGTACAGCAAGTCATGTTGACAAAGGATAGGATTGCAGCTCAGCTGTCGCATCTTATCTTTCAGAGCCAGTCTTTGTGTGCTTCTTTTAAATCTCCCAAGTTCAGCATATACAGAATTTTTCATGGGTTCATGCAAAATAGGACCAAGGGAAACAAACTAATATAGAAAAGCAAATACTGTGGGCCAAGTTCTCTCCTGTGACTGAAAAACAGTGGAGAGTGGGCCTCAGGAGGCACCTGAAGTTTGGGACCTGAGGGCAGCTCTGTATGTCTCTTGTCGAGTGTTGGAATATTAAATGTCTCTAGAGTTAACTGGGAAACCAAATATATAAGAGAATGCTTTAATGGGAATAACACTACAGAGCATGCTGCTGCTTCTTTTGATGATCTATTTTCAGCCACTAGATTACATATATATGAGCACACCAAAATTAGAGCCCTGTGCCCTGTTACAGTTATGGGAATCTAGAGTAAACGCCACAGTTGCTGCAAATTGCAAGGCAACAGATAAGAGAATCTACCCATAAAAGGATAGTAGAGACTGGGAAGGCTTTAATTTCTCTCCCAAAGCTCAGTAAATGAGAAAAATGAGAGGTGACGAAGGGAAATCATCTTTAACAAATCTTGCACTCACTGTTTCCCATTGTTCTCTTACTGTCAAAATTGCTTTCCTTCTATCTGAAGAAATGGAAGTGAACAGCTGTTGTTCTATAAATCCTGTCAACTTTATTATTGTTCTTTCCACATATAACATTTGTACCATGTGAAATAGTAATAGGAAAGTTGCCCCCTCTCATCATTTTCATTTTTTTTCTCATCCATTTGTGCCTTTCCTTGCATTTGTTACCTTTCTTCCAACCAGTGTGGAAACTCTCCCACTATGGGTTACTTTGGCCAATGAACAGATTTGAAATGGTGATGCATTTGTGCAGGCTTTCCTTGCTTAAAAGCTGGACTAGCTGGGGCTAACAGCTGCATTACTTGCTCTTCATTCAGTGGATACTGTAGCATTTGATGATGGCTTTAAAATAATCCCTTCTGTGCCTTGCATTGGTTGAGATCGTATTACTGTTAGAGCTTTTTGAAGATATAAAATCTTGTGTGATTGCCAGGCAACTTGGCAGAAACACACAGTTTGCAAATCAATCACAACAGAACCTTGGAACTCAGTGATCTAAGTCCACTTACAGTCCTTATCCACCTTCTCTAGTTTTGTCACAGAAGTACTTTGTACCTTAGTTCTGTGCTTGGGATTGATAGAAATATATCTATTAGCAAAAGGAATCTGTAGGCCATCACAGTTTCAACTGATCTGGTTGTAGTCTGATCTCAAGCATCCAAACATCCCTGAGAGTCGTATGTGTTTCCCTTCCCTGGGTGCGTCTGTATGAGACATTAAATGCACTGTAAACTAATTCCCCTGCTCATTGAAGTGTCACAGCAAAAGCCATGCTATTGTGCTAATACGCAGTAGAATTAGTCTACTGCACATTAGCATCACTTAAAAGGCATGCGCCACTGCTATTGTACTGTGCATTGAGTTAGCACCTGTTATTACAGGTGCTAAACTTAATGCGCAGTAACTACAGCACATAAATGCATGTGCAGATGTGCCCCCTGACTCTTCAACTCTGCTAGGGCTTTTAAGATTAATAGTTTACATGCACATGGGTAGTGTCAGGAAATGGCCTCAGCTGCTTCCTGCTCCATAGGTAGATGTGATCCTGCTATTTTTTGGGGGGTAAATAACTATGTTAAGAAAGAAGCAAGATTATTTTTGATAATATGTTTTATTAGACCAAGTGTATTGTCCAATTTTTCAAGCACTAAGTGCCTCCCAGGCCTGGCAAGGAAGGACACTCTGTGCCCAAAAGTTTATCTAACATGTCTCCCAAGTATACAGCTGGTCCAATAAAAGATATCGGGGGGAGGGGTATACCCTTGCTTTTCATATATCTCTTGGACCAAAACTCCAGCCGTACTACACCATATGTTAAACAAA